TACAGAGACAAGATCAAAATCAATCTAATCAATAAGTTGCTGTCGCCACACAATGAAGGCTGGCTGCAATGGATTTCAAAAAGTGAAGCTTCTGTCTCTTATTCTGGATGTTTACTATCTCTCTCTCTCTCTCTCTTTCACTGTTGTTTCCTTGATCTCTGAGTTGTTCCTCCCACTTGTATCACTATCTGTCCAGCCACATCAACCACCCAGTGACAATTAGTGAATACAAATATGACCATGATATCAACATACCTGATGCGAATTATGTTTTTTTCAAAAAAGGTTTGTTTTTTCAATAATTACTTAAATAAAATGTTGAATGAAGAATTGACATCACACACTCAGGACACCCCCATAAGCACTTCATTCCCGTTTTTTCAGCAGCAAGCGAAGAGTTACAATTCCGATGGTACCAGAAACTGTCTAATTGTATATCCGTCTCATCCCCTTTAATAATTACTTACTTACAACTGTTTCAAAGTGTAGCCTGTGTAAAATTAACATCAGAGAAATAACATACCAGACGAAAACTGCCAACTTAACAGCTGAGACAAAGTGAGAAATTAGACTATCAAACAGACTGTAAGAACAACACTATGTGGCCAGATTCAATGACAAACAGAAGATCAAATGATTTGGTTCATCTTGTTAGAATGCAGGCAGAATAACTATCAATGCAGACAGAACAACTATCAATGCAGACAGAACAACTATCAATGCAGACAGAACAACTATCAATGCAGACAGAACAACTATCAATGCAGACAGAACAACTATCAATGCAGACAGAACAACTATCAATGCAGACAGAACAACTATCAATGCAGACAGAACAACTATCAATGCAGACAGAACAACTATCAATGCAGGCAGAACAACTATCAATGCAGACAGAACAACTATCAATGCAGACAGAACAACTATCAATGCAGACAGAACAACTATCAATGCAGACAGAACAACTACCAATGCAGGCAGAACAACTACCAATGCAGGCAGAACAACTATCAATGCAGACAGAACAACTATCAATGCAGACAGAACAACTATCAATGCAGGCAGAACAACTATCAATGCAGACAGAACAACTATCAATGCAGACAGAACAACTATCAATGCAGGCAGAACAACTATCAATGCAGACAGAACAACTATCAATGCAGACAGAACAACTACCAATGCAGGCAGAACAACTATCAATGCAGGCAGAATAACTATCAATGCAGACAGAATAACTATCAATGCAGGCAGAATAACTACCAATGCAGACAGAACAACTATCAATGCAGACAGAATAACTACCAATGCAGACAGAATAACTATCAATGCAGACAGAATAACTACCAATGCAGACAGAATAACTACCAATGCAGACAGAATAACTATCAATGCAGACAGAATAACTACCAATGCAGACAGAACAACTATCAATGCAGACAGAATAACTACCAATGCAGACAGAATAACTATCAATGCAGACAGAATAACTACCAATGCAGACAGAATAACTACCAATGCAGACAGAATAACTATCAATGCAGACAGAATAACTATCAATGCAGACAGAACAACTACCAATGCAGACAGAACAACTACCAATGCAGACAGAATAACTACCAATGCAGGCAGAACAACTACCAATGCAGACAGAATAACTATCAATGCAGACAGAACAACTATCAATGCAGACAGAATAACTATCAATGCAGGCAGAATAACTACCAATGCAGACAGAATAACTATCAATGCAGACAGAATAACTATCAATGCAGGCAGAACAACTACCAATGCAGACAGAATAACTACCAATGCAGACAGAATAACTATCAATGCAGACAGAATAACTATCAATGCAGGCAGAACAACTACCAATGCAGACAGAATAACTATCAATGCAGGCAGAATAACTATCAATGCAGGCAGAATAACTACCAATGCAGACAGAATAACTATCAATGCAGGCAGAATAACTATCAATGCAGACAGAACAACTATCAATGCAGGCAGAACAACTATCAATGCAGGCAGAACAACTATCAATGCAGGCAGAACAACTATCAATGCAGACAGAATAACTATCAATGCAGGCAGAACAACTATCAATGCAGGCAGAACAACTATCAATGCAGACAGAACAACTATCAATGCAGGCAGAATAACTACCAATGCAGACAGAATAACTACCAATGCAGACAGAATAACTATCAATGCAGACAGAACAACTATCAATGCAGACAGAACAACTATCAATGCAGGCAGAATAACTATCAATGCAGACAGAACAACTATCAATGCAGACAGAATAACTACCAATGCAGGCAGAATAACTACCAATGCAGACAGAACAACTATCAATGCAGACAGAACAACTATCAATGCAGACAGAATAACTACCAATGCAGACAGAATAACTACCAATGCAGACAGAACAACTACCAATGCAGACAGAACAACTATCAATGCAGACAGAACAACTATCAATGCAGACAGAACAACTATCAATGCAGACAGAATAACTACCAATGCAGACAGAATAACTACCAATGCAGACAGAACAACTACCAATGCAGACAGAACAACTATCAATGCAGACAGAATAACTACCAATGCAGACAGAACAACTATCAATGCAGGCAGAATAACTATCAATGCAGACAGAATAACTATCAATGCAGGCAGAACAACTATCAATGCAGGCAGAACAACTATCAATGCAGACAGAATAACTACCAATGCAGACAGAATAACTATCAATGCAGGCAGAACAACTATCAATGCAGGCAGAATAACTACCAATGCAGACAGAATAACTATCAATGCAGACAGAACAACTATCAATGCAGACAGAATAACTATCAATGCAGGCAGAACAACTATCAATGCAGGCAGAATAACTAGCAATGCAGACAGAATAACTATCAATGCAGGCAGAACAACTATCAATGCAGGCAGAATAACTACCAATGCAGACAGAACAACTATCAATGCAGACAGAACAACTATCAATGCAGGCAGAACAACTACCAATGCAGACAGAACAACTATCAATGCAGACAGAATAACTACCAATGCAGACAGAACAACTACCAATGCAGGCAGAATAACTACCAATGCAGACAGAATAACTACCAATGCAGACAGAACAACTATCAATGCAGGCAGAATAACTACCAATGCAGACAGAATAACTATCAATGCAGACAGAATAACTACCAATGCAGATAGAATAACTATCAATGCAGGCAGAACAACTATCAATGCAGGCAGAACAACTATCAATGCAGGCAGAACAACTATCAATGCAGACAGAACAACTATCAATGCAGACAGAACAACTATCAATGCAGGCAGAACAACTATCAATGCAGGCAGAATAACTACCAATGCAGACAGAATAACTATCAATGCAGACAGAATAACTATCAATGCAGGCAGAACAACTACCAATGCAGACAGAACAACTATCAATGCAGGCAGAACAACTATCAATGCAGACAGAACAACTACCAATGCAGACAGAATAAC